ATTTTTTTATATCCCTACTGTAAAGATTGCACTTTCCCCCCATGATCAAAAACGTATCTAAAAAATTGTTTTCCACGAATTGTACAAAAGATTTGTAATTGTGTTTACGGTCAGTAACTGGGCGGAGTTACAATTTTATTAGCTGCTCCTTCCGACCACCGTAAAGTATAAAAGGATAATTTAGGGCTAAACGTCCCACTTAACCGTTGTATTCGCCTTTTCATAAAGTTCATGGACACTTGCTCCCTTTCGCACAGTGCATTTTGAAACTTTTCCCAGGCTTGTCGCCGACGCACAGTGCATTTTTATTTTTCTCTTTTTGCACAGTGCAAACCTCAGAAAAAGCCGTTTGCACTGTGCAAATTTCGACGCTGCGACAAAGTTGAAAGTTGCTTTTGTCGCAGCGATATTTCAAATGCACAGTGCGGAAATCAAAAAATTGAAATGCACAGTGCAAAACAAGGGGTTTTTTGTGCACGGTGCGGGGCGCGACAAATGTCCGTGCACTTTTGGAAAGGCCTTTTGAAAAGTGCATTGAATTGAGCTGGCGGCGCACAGTGCATTTTGCGACTTTTTGCACTGTGCAATGTCTGTCGCACTCCAGAATTCGCAGCGACGCAATGGAAAAACCTTGCGTCGCGGCGATTTTTCAACCGCACAGTGCAAAAGGTCAACTGCACAGTGCGGAGAGCATGCGACAAAAAGGGAAGTTTTTGTCCCGCCGCACAGTGCATTTTGTCTGTTTTTCGCACGGTGCGGTATTTTCGAACGTTTTGCACTGTGCATTGTCACAAAAAAATTTTGCACAGTGCAAAAGGTCAACTGCACAGTGTGGTCGACTTGCGACAAAAAGTGAAGTTTTTGTCCCGCCGCACAGTGCAGTGCATTTTGTCTGTTTTTTGCACGGTGCGGTATTTTGGAATCTTTTGCACTGTGCATTCGCATAAAAAGTTTGCACAGTGCAAAATGTCAACTGGACAGTGCAAAATTGGGGCTTTTGCACGGTGCGGAGAGGTTGCGACAAAAAGTCTACTCACTTTTTGAAAATAATACTATCTGTCTGTCGGGAAAATAATGAGCACAATGTCGCGCCGATCACGTCGCTGAAGCAAAACGCAATTCGATTTTGTCGCGACACAATTCATTTTTTTTTTCTCAGCGGCGATACTATTTTCAATGTAAAATTTTTCTCGTTATTTTCCCGGAAAGCTGATAATAGCGATTGTAAAGCTTTCATAGTTCAAAATACAAATTCCACTTTACAGTAAGAGGTAAAAAATAGTAAAAATGGGTGTTCTTTGAAGTGTCGAGACGTAGCGCGGTTTTTAAATCTTTGAACTCGTTTTTCGGTACTTGGAGTACATAATTTGATGGTTAAAGGGTATTTTTATACGACTTTAGGTTCATTTTTGTTATATCGTTTATAATTTCTGAGTGCATGTTGGGTTTGAATTGAGTACTTCCCTGTTCAGCGTCAAAAATGTGAGTGTGTGAAGGTACCAGTGTTTACGTCCTTTTCTGAGTGCTAAATCGCCGTATCACGCTATGGGCGGACTAGAATACGCCCTAAACCTCTTCTCCTTATTACCTCTTTTCTTTATCCCCAAACCGTTTCATTGTTTCCGAGCATATCATTGAAACTTGTTGATAGTTAGTCGCGGTAAGCTATATAATTCGTTTAAGGACTTAAAGTGGTCAGTCTGTCGGGGAAATTGGAAGCGCAACGTCGCTGAAGTGAAAAGCAACTTGCTTTCGGCGCGACACATTTCATTTGACTTTGGATGCGACAGAGTGCTCATTATTTTCCCGACAAACTGACACTAGGCGGGCCAAAAAGTCTTGACATGTCTGCACAGTGCGCCGACGTGCAAGAAATTTATCGCGCGGCGCCAAGAAAAATTTACGGTGCAATGCGACCCCGCACAGTGCAAAAAGATTGTTTTGAAAAAGGGTAAACAACGCACAATGCGCTCTTCATTCGTACCCCGCCAAATTTTTATCGCGCGGCACCTCTTCGCGACACCGAATTCATGCGCCCGCACGGTGCAAAAAAATTGTTTTGAAACATGTCAGGACTTTTCGGGCCGACTTCAAAACTCGCAACTACGCTTTTTCAAAAGTGCGTAGACTTTTTGTCACGGTCCTCAGTGCATCGCATTTTGCCTATTTTTTGCACCATGGGCGTCTTTTCGAACCATTTTCATCGATAAATTTTCTCGGCAGCGATTCAATTTTGGATGCGACAGTGAGCCCATTATTTTCCCGACAGTTCGATATTAAGATTTTCATAAAGTGCGTGGACATTATTCGCGGTCCGCACCGTGCACAAAAAACCCCCGTTTTGCACAGTGCATTTCACTTTGTTTTGCTTTCGCACTGTGCATCGAAATATTGCCGCGACAAAATCAAGTTTCACCCCAAACCGCTGCGACGGCCCCCGGATTTGAACCGCGCAAAGCGCTTTTAAGCGGTTTGCACTGTGCGAAAACAGAAAAATGCACTGTGCGTTGGCGAGAAGCGTGGGAGAGGGCTCAAAGGGCACTGAGCGCAAGAGAACAAATGTCCATGCACTTTATAAAAAAAACCCCTTGGTCTAAAAATTCCTCCAGTTCTTGAATTTTTAAGGCCCGATTATCGACTTAGATCGACTTAAAATTTTTAAGCACCGTCTCTGACTCAGACAAATTGGATTTTTTAATTAGACTTGCATTAATAGAAGCGAAGGAGAGTCTCTATAATCCACGGTCTCTGTGGGAAAGATTTTGATTTGGCTCATTTGTAATCCCCCAATACGGTAGGTTCTGTTGTCGGATTTGGATTTTAAATCAGTCTTTGGTCTCGAAAATATTTTCCGGAATAAAAATTTAAATTGTAAATAAAAAATTTTGTTTCGAATTTTAAATCAACGGAAACTTTTGGGGGCGGGTTGGGCTTTGTTTGAGCTACATTACGATCATAGTGCGACCCAGTTGTGACACGTTATTCTTTGCCCTTCCTCTTTGTGTGCCCTCTTCCGTATTCGGTGCCCGACCCGGCAATGATATCATGTGTTTTGGGGGGCCGTTGGCATTTTTGCGACAAAGAAAGACCTGGTTTGGTTTAGCCATGAATGGGATATCAGTCTGTCGGGAAAATAACGAGCGCTCTGTCGTATAGAAAATCGTATCGCCGCTGAGAAAATGAATTGTGTCGCGGGAAAATCGAATTGCTTTTTACTTCGCGACGAATCTCTACTGGGTCGGTGCGAATTTTTAGAAAGTTTACAATGTAAAATGTTTCGAAATGGATCGCGTCGCATGGGAAACAGGCAACTTGCACTGTGCGTTGCGAAGAAGTCCGAAAAAAGTCTACGCACTTTCTGCAACGACTAGTGCATATTAGAATTTTCTTAAAGTACGTATTAGCATTTTCACAAAGTGCCTGGACATTTGTCGCGGCGCGCACTGTGCACAAAAGCCCCGAGTTTTCGCACCGTGCATTACCTTTTTTTGGTTTTGCACTGTGCATTTGAAATGTCGCTGCGACGTAAGCTTTTCTCAACTGCGCCTCCGCGATCTTTATCAAAAATTTGCACAGTGCAATCGGCTTTTTTGGGATTTGCACGGTGCGCAAAGGCAAAAATCCACAGTGCGTCGGCGACAAAAGTTCAAGATGCACTGTGCGAAAGCGAAATGATGACCAGGCACTTTGTGAAAATTCTAATACTAGTCGTTCCAGAAAGTGCGTGCACTCTTTGTCGTGGGCTGCACTGTGCACAAAATTCCCTTCTTGCGGGGTGCATTTGACCTTTTGCACCGTGCAATTGCAATATCGCAGCGACGCAGGCTTTTCTCAACGGAGCCGGCGCGATTTTTTAGAAATTGCACAGTGCAAAATGTATCGAAACGGATCGCGTCGCGCGGGGAACACGAAATTTTGCACTGTGCGGTGCGAAAAAGGCGGAAAAAAGTGCACGCACTTTCTGGAACGACTAGTATACGCTTCTTCTTTCGAAGCCAGCTGTGGTCTTTTCGAACCTCTTGCACTGTGCATTTTCACAAAAACGTTGCACAGTGCACAATGTCAGCGCGTTTTTGCCATGTGCGGCTCATTGACCCCAGTCTATGCACTTTACGGAGAGACCAACAGTTCAAGCCGCTGTTATTCTCTCCCCATCACGCTTTTCCTCCCCGAACCGTTTTGTTCGCACAATTTCCGGTTGATTCCCCGCCTACTATTAAATAATATTTGTACCTGGCATCACTTGAAAAAGGTAGTCATGACCGTATGTAACGTATTTCAATACGGAATTGCTCCTTCATTTGTAGAATCTTGCCCATTTAGTTGTTTATTTGGAGTGGCAACCTTTAATGAATAAAATCTTTTTTCGAATTTTTGGATTTGTTCGATATTTTTTTGGTTTTTGGTCAATTTTTTGTCGGAATTTTTGGTCGATTTTTTAAAGAATTAATGGTCAATTTTTTATGTAATTATTGGTCGATTTTTTTTCGGAATTTATGGTCGATTTTTTACAGAATTTTTGGTCAATTCGGTATAAAATTTTTTATCGATTTTATCAGAATTTTTTGTCGATTTATTACAAAATTAATGGTCGATTTTGGCCGACTTTTTACATAATTTTTGGTCAATTTTTCTCAAAATTTTTGGTCGATTTTTTTCAAAATTTTTGGTCGATTTTTCTTTCAATTTTTGGTCGATATTTCGACCGAATTAATGGTCGATTTTTTCAAAATTTTTGGTCGATTTTTTCAGACCCATTTTTCCCGGGATCTCAAATATTTTTTCAATCTTTGCCCTTTTTTTTGTGTAACGCTACCCCCGTACTTGACTTACTTTACACTTCGCGTGCTGTAAACCGTGACGCGTTCGACTTGTTGTTGTCTGGAATGTGACAAAAACTCGCCATTTGTTAAAAATTCTTCTGTACCACGAGATTCCCGACATTCTTTTTTTTCATTTTTTTCTTTTCCATGTTATTCCAATAATACGTTTTTGCAGGAATGTGCGCAAGAAGACAAAGCACGACGATAATGCTGATCTTCTCGCTGGTTCTGGGCACATTCGTCGAGAGTTCGGTGATACGCAGGTCGTTGGGGAGGAGAGAACATTTGAGGAATTTGGTGGACGGAAGTGTAAGTGGTTTTTACTGGTCAGTTCGCAAAGTGGCTGGAGTGAGTTCGGCGACATGCACTGTGCAAAAAGCCGAATATTGCACTGTGCAAAAAGTGGAAAAATGCACAGTGCAAAAAATCAGATTGCACTGTGCAAAAAGCCGGACTTTGCACAGTGCAAAACCCGAAAATTGCACGGTGCAAAACGCCGAAATTTGCACTGTGCAAAAAGCCGAATAGTGCACTGTGCAAAAAAATTAAAAATTGCACAGTGCGAAGAGCCGGAAATTGCACTGTGCAAAAAGCAGAAAATTGCACTGTGCAAAAAACAAAAATTGCACTGTGCAAAAAAACGAAAATTGCACTGTGCAAAAAAATCAAAAATTGCACAGTGCGAAGAGCCGAAAGTTGCACTGTGCAAAAAGCCGAATAGTGCACTGTGCAAAAAACAAAAATTGCACAGTGCGAAGAGCCGGAAATTGCACTGTGCAAAAAGCAGAAAATTGCACTGTGCGAAGAGCCGAAAATTGCACTGTGCAAAAAATCAGAAATTGCACCGTGCGAAAGAGCCGAAAATTGCACTGTGCAAAAACTAAAAATTAAAGTGTAAAGTGAACTTTTGTTTTTTCTCACAGTCATGTCGCCAAAATCACTTGAGCCACCTAGCGTACGGTATCGAAAAATCAAAAAACACAAGCCATTTTGCAAAAAAAAATTCTCATGTTTTCAAAATTCTCATGTCGTTAAGTACATGATTTTCACGAATATCAGATGACCCGGAAATATTTTCAATCGAAATTGTGTTACGTTGTGACCTCGGTAGAAAGTACGGTTAGGCGAATAAAAAAAATCTCGTTGTTTTCGCCCGCCCAAATAACATTTTACGATTTTTTTCGCAGAAATTCGTGATGATTGCAAAACAAATCAATCTTCGGAAAGATAGAAACGTAATTTTCAACGAAAAATCTTCTGAAATCGTTTCGAAAGCAACGACAATACGCGCCTTGTATGACAAAGTAGAGGGCTCACTGTAATGTAGAAAATAAAAAAAAAACGAAAAAACGCAAAGAATTTGGCGATTTTCTTGGAGAAAAATGACCTAAACCTGGATGTCGCATTTTGAGCACTTGGCCCGTAAATTGCATTTCTCACGTTTCCCAGGGTTCTTTGTTCAAGTTACGACGCAAAACCATGTGTTTTGAGTACTGAGAATGGTCGGATGACTGTAGAAGTCCCTATTATGAAACTTTTTACCATTTCCTTTGAAGAAATTTGTACTTTACACTTAGTAACACACTGCACAGTGCATTTTGCTTTTTTTTGCTGACGCACCGTGCAATCTGAACTTTTATCGGCGCTTGTCGTTGACGCACCGTGCACTTTGCCTTTTTGTTTTTTGCAACGCACAGTGCATTTTGAACTTTCCCTTGTGCTTGTCGCTAGCGCACAGTGCATTTTGGCTTTTTTGGCAGCGCACAGTGCATTTTGAACTTCCCCCTGCGCTTGTCGCTAACGCACAGTGCATTTTGGCTTTTCGTTTTTGGCAGCGCACTGTGCATTTTGAACTCTTGCGTGTGCTCGCCGTTAACGCACCGTGCATTTTGCCTTCTTTCCCTAACGCCCAGTGCATTTTGCCTTTTCGTTTTTGGCAGCGCACAGTGCATTTTGAACGTTTCCCTGCGCTTGTCGCTAACGCACCGTGCGTTTCCCCTTTTTTCGCACAGTGCAAACTTGAAAAAAGTTGCACTGTGCGAACGGTTCGGCAAAACCGCAGCGACGCCGTTGGGAAAAGTCAATGTCGCGGCGATATTTTGCACGGTGCAAATGTCAAATGCACAGTGCAAAAACGAGTGCATCGTGCATCGCCGTTTTTCGCACAGTGCAAACGGAAAAAAAGCGGACTGCACTGTGCGAACCGCAAAATCGCGGCGACATCTTGTTGCACGGTGCGAAAAATGGGCAAAAGGTCAAATGCACTGTGCGAAATGGGGGGTTTCGCTCGGCGACGAAAAGTCTATCAATTTGTCGGGAAAATAATGAGCAAAATGTCGCTGTGCGCCCGTCGCGCGGCTGCCATTGAAAAGCAATTTGATTTTGCCGCGACAAAATTCATTTTTTCGGCAGCGATGCGATTTTCGCTGCGACAGAGTGCTCATTATTTTCCCGACAGACTGTTACGCACTTTTGTAAATACGTAGTAGGCTCTCAATACAATTCCACACATTTATTTATTCTAAAACAAGTTCAATCCCCATTTTAAGCTGTTTTTTCGACGACTTCAAGGGTTTTCCGGCACTCAACAGCGTAGACAACTTGAATGAGCGCTTAAAAGTACATCCATGTCACATGTTTATTCTACTCACACTTGAATTTTCAGAGAATTCCCGGATTTCCACGACTGCAACGGTCGATTCCGCCGATGAAAATCGAGAAAAAGTACCGGAAAAAGAACCCCATGTGCTTCTTCGTCTCGATACCCTGCACCAAAAACGACTATCTGACCGCGTGACCGCCGCCCATGCTCGGCGCTGCAGACCGTCGCATATCAGGACTATTTATTTTAACTTATTGTAAATAGGGGTTTTCTAGAGCGAATATTCTTTCCACCTTTCTTTCCAATAATAATAAATTTTCCGCACCGAAAATGCATCTATATCACATAAATAATTTATATCATATTGAAATGCCATGTATCTTGAATAAAATTGTTATGAAACCTTCGCAGAGGGCAATTTGATGGGACATTTTTATTAAAAAAGTATTAAAACCAGTCTGTCGGGAAAATAATAAGCATGAATTCGCTGCACCGATCACGTCGCTGAAGTGAAAAGCAATTTGACAGTGACGGACCTGATCCAGCGGCAAAAAACGTATCATTTTGCGTCCGGGAAGTACCAAAAATGTATCCAAATACCTCCCTCTCGCGAAAAAACTCCGATTTCAAAAGCGCGCCCGCTCTTTTTGTGAAGAAAAGGGCGCACCCTTCAAAACTTTTTCACTTGGAGACGGAAGCATTTTGCCACATTTTTGATGCTTCCCGGATGCAAAATGGAACGTTTTTGGCCACTGAATCAGGTCCCTAACTGTAGGTACTGCACGGTGCAAAATCTACTTTTTTCGCCGAAATCATTCTAACGACCTCCCGGAAGAACTCGTATTGAGAATTCACACCGTATTGCAGTGTCAAAATGATGCATTCTGGAGAAAAAATATTTTTTCCGTGAGAACATAGCATTTTTCTATATCTTTTCAGTGAAAAAATAATTTTCTATTCTAAAAAATATAGACTTAAATCGATATTATATGTACAGTGACGGATCTGATCCAGTGGCAAAAAACGTAGAATTTTGCGTCCGGGATGTATCAAAAAATGTGGCAAAATGCCTCCCTCTCCAAGTAAGAAACTCGGTTTCGAAGGGCCTTCACAAAAGAGCGCCTTTGAAATCGGAGTTTTTTTCATTTGGAGAGGGAGGCATTTTGCCACATTTTTTGATACTTCCCGGATGCAAAATGGTACGCTTTTTGCCACTGGATCAGGTCCGTCACTGTACATATAATATCGATTTAACTCTATATTTTTTAGAATAGAAAATATTTGTTCACAGAAAACATATAGAAAAATTCTATTTTCTCTCGGAAAAAATATTTTTTCCTCAGAATGCATCATCTTGTAAAAAAATAAAAAGTAAAAAATTTTCTTCACAAATCACCTAAAAAAGTACCAAAATAATAATAATAATTTACTAATCTCCAACTCTATATTTACAGATCATCCTACGCTCACAATTTTCATATTACACTCAAAAAACTGCTTCGAAGAGTGCACGTTTTCCCTTCGAGACATCACAAGGCACGGTGACCAAAAATCCTGATATGGAAGTGGAGCAAAACTCATGATAGCGGGGCAAGAAGTGCGTTTTCTCGTCGTCCACGACGAACTTCACCTCTTCATCCGAATTTTTATACAACAGGTTGAGGACAATCGAAGCTCCGTCTACATCAATGTTCAGTTGAAGCGAGGCGTCGCGTTTGCCCACCACCTTGCTCACAGCAAACTGCCGTGATATATCATACAACAGATAGTCGTAGAACTCTTCTTCAAAAATTCCGACCTGAAGAGGCGAATCCAGGCGACATTTTCGATACCAGGCTGGAAATAAGCCAAGTGTAATATAAAAAATGGCTCTATTTTTGGCAAAATCAATTTTAAAATACGTGTCGAGGCCTATGTTGAGTATAAAACCATCAAAAACACATTTTCAGAGTGTTTTACAAAATCCAATAATTTTTGTGACATTTCGTCCAAAAAATTGACATTTCGTCAAATCATCAGAAACACTCTCAAACAAAGTAAGAGGCCATAAACCGATAAAACAAATCGTTTTTAGCCCTAAAATTACACATAAACAATAAAAAAACGTACAATCTAGACTCTTCCCAATCAAGAAGATATTTGATCCATAAATATCCGCTCTCTGCCGTAACTTATCATAACCAAACGCGGCATTATTAATCACATCATGTGCGGTTCCATTTGGCCTTTCCAGATCACCCAGACATTCAATTTTCCGGCCATTTTTCCAAAATCGTAGGAACTGATCCAAACCAACTGGAACGGCAATTTCCAGCACTTTCAAGACTCCGTTTAGACTAACAGCAACTTCTGCGGACTTCTTGATGACGAATCTGAAAATTTCCGACTGGATTTTGTCCAAAAACTGCCAAAACTCAACTTCCACATCATGCGCATCTAGTGTAATATAAAATTCGTCTAAAACAAGGAAAAAACAAAGTTGTAGATGGTGCTTACCGTGGTAAAACGTGCGGGACAGCTTTTTTGTCCTTTTCCGCAAAGGCTTTGGTTGGAATAAACGTGATACTGGTGGTGAGATCATAAACTTCTTGCATTTCGTAGTCCAAGTTGATATATCCGCTGTAAACATCTTGTGCAGCTCCGGTGAAGGCGACTTGGACCGGGCCTGGGCACGGCTCGCTTTTCTCGACATGAGGTAGACATTGTGGATCAATCAGAAGGCTGAAAAAAGAGAATAGAGAAAAAATCGATGTCGGCAGCTCGCGCCCTGGGAGAATTTGGGAAATCGCTTCGAAATCGGGCTTGCAGCTGGAATTTCATGGGAAAAAACATTTTTTGGGTAAAAAGGGAAGCTAGACTTACATTTGACCCGTTTCGTCGCGTTTTGGCCAGAATGTGACGATAAAAACGGTCACAACGATCAAAAATAGCAAAAATCGGAGACGCTGAGCTCTCAAGTACAACGCCGAGGCATACTGAAGTGAAATCAATCAAAATGAGAGTAAAATAGAACCTACTCGATCCAAGTTGGGCAAAACCTGAGTCCGCACTCTGAGCCGAACCATAAACTAATCAAGATTTTCGAGAATTCGCCGTTCCCAAGCCGGAGAAGTCTGAAAAATTAAAATTATTTTTTTTGCGTTGGAAAAATAAAGAAATGCAATTGGGCTGAAATTTGCATAGCTTATGACAATCAAAACGACAAAAAAATAAAAAAATTTAATTTTCCGATCGAAAAAACTTGATTTTTGAAGAAATTCCCAAAAATCGCAAAAAATTCTGCAAAACGCGATTGATTTTTTTTACACGGAATGAAAGGATAGGTCCTAAATTTCATTTACGAAGAGTTTCAAAGAGCTTGGAACATTTCAAAAAGAGTTTTTTCCGAAAAACCTCAAAAAACCCCCTTTTTCGGAAAAAAATCAAATTTTGCTGCCAAAAATCGCCAAAATTGGTCAAAGATCCCGCGCAAATTTCGTCAAGACCCCAAAAATTATAATCTTTGTTATATTTTCCCTCTTTCTCGCCGAGATCCAATCAAAAATCCGCAAATTTGCCTCCAGAATTAGGTGAAAAGCCCTCGGGGGTTTCCGTGTGAAAATCGAAAAACAAAAGAAGAGGGGAAGAGTGAAAAAGTCAGCGATTTAGTGCGGGTTACAGAGCGGATGACACGGAATATCGAGGGTTTTAATGGCTGCGGAACGGATCGAATTGCCTTTTGGGAGCTTGTTTTTGGAACTTTTTGATCCGGAAATTGAATACATCAGGCTGTCGGGAAAATAATGTGGATTTGTCGGAGAGCAAAAGATCTCGCATCACATCTCCAGCCTTGGCGAGCCGTCCTAAAGCGATGATACGAGATTTCGAGGCGCGACGAATCCACATTATTTTCCCGACAGGTTTTTATCAGTCTGTCGGGAAAATAATGTGGGGTCGTCGCAACTTGGAATCGCTCATCATTTGTTTGCGATAGCTAGCCGCGACTGAAGATTTGGCGCACGACAAGTCGAGATATTTTAGGTTTTTATCAGGCTGTCGGGAAAATAATGTGGACTCGTCGCAGCTTGATATCGCTCATCATGCCTCTGTGATGGCTAGCCGCGGCTGAAGAATTGGTGGCCTACGAGGCGCGATAAATTTTTTTGCGACAAACCCACATTATTTTCCCGACAGGTTAATATCAGTCTGTCGGGAAAAGGATGAGGATTTGATTTTACCGCGACAAAATTCATTTTCGGCGACGGTGCGACTTCCGATGCGACAGAGTGCTCATTATTTTCCCGACAGACATATATGTATTATCCAGAAATTTAGAGTTCGACAGAAAAAAAAGTCAAAGTCAAGGAGGTCTGGACTCCCGGGCAACACTCTTGAATGCTATGTCAACGGAATTTCAATATTCGGCCCTTCAAATAAAAGGCCAAATATTTATGTATTTTTTGGAAAAGTCATTAATATAATATGTGTTGAAAATGTTTTGCCATATAAATTTTGAATATTCTCAAAAGATATCAGTCTGTCGGGAAAGTAATGAGCACAATGTCGTTGAGCCGATCGCGTCGCTGAAGTGAAAAGCAATTTGCGTTTGTCGCGGAAAAAATTTTTCATTTTAAAAATGAGGTGTTACTAGTCCGTTCGTAAAGTCGCTGGAATTTTTTCGGCGACATGCACTCCGCGAAACCGAAAGTTCACTTTGCACTGTGCAATTTTTGGCTTTTTGCACAGTGCAATAGGCTTTTTTGGGCTGTCGCCCGCACCCTGAGTTTTCTTGCACAGTGCACGTCGCCGAAATCATTCCAGCGACTTTACGAACGGACTAGTATGGTAAATACAGAAGGATCTCGTGCAACAAAACGTATCTTTAACGAAGATTTCAGAGGTCCCGGGATTCAACTTCAAGCCAAAATTAATCCGTCAAAGCCTTCAATCAGTCTGTCGGGAAAATAATGACCACTCTGTCGCATCAAAAACCGCATCGCCGCCGAGAAAATGAACTTGGTCGCGGCAAAATCAAATTGCTTTTCACTTTAGCGACATTGTGGTCATTATTTTCCCGACAAACTGATATAAACCTGTCGGGGAAATAATGTGGATTTTTCGCAGCAAATTGTACCGCTCCGGCCGTCGCAAAGCGATGAAGGGCGATTCCAAGGCGCGACAAGTCCACATTATTTTCCCGACAGGCTGATTAAAAAAAAACAATTTTTTGATGACTTGGGATTCGTTTTACAGAGGGCATCTCTGAAATTCCAGAAAATAAAAAAAAAAAATAAAGGCTCAAATTGGTGATTAACAAGTGAGATCAGCGCTTCCTCACCTCTCTCCAGCGAAATCTCAAATTTCCTCTCACCTGTTTTCCCCCCTTCAAAAAAACACCCCATTTTTATTCGGCCGAAACTCCGCAAAGCACGCTCCGAAGATTTGTCCCTCTCTTTATATTTTCGAAACCAAATGTTTTGTGGCCACAGAAACCCGGAGGCAATTGTTCGGAAGGGAATCTTCAGCGTTTATTTCGGTCCGCACTTTAAACGGCCCTCCGGCCACGAGCCGTGTCTTCCTTTTTTTTGTTGGTGATGTTGCATAAAAGAGGAGGCAATCTAATGTGGCATAAATTATGCAGCAGGTCATGAGAGACAGTGGATGTGGAAAAAAAGTTGGGAAAATTTGGCAATAGAAAAGATGTGAGAGTCGGTCGGGAAAATAATGGGGATTTGTCGCGCCTCGGAATCGCTCATCATGGCTTTGCGATGACTAGTCGGGAGACATTTTGCTACGACTTATCCACATTATTTTTCCACCAGGTTCTTTTCACTCTGTCGGGAAAATAATGTGGATCTGTCGCAGCAAAATTGCTCGCTTGTCGCAGTCGCGAGCTAGCTGTCGCAAAGCGGTAATGGCCGCGACAATCCACATTATTTTCCCGACAAACTTATACAAACCTGTCGGGAAAATAATGTGGATCTGTCGCAGCAAAATTGCTCGCTCGTCGCAGTCGCGAGCCAAGCCTTCAGCTATCTGTCGCGATGATGGCCGCGACAATCCACATTATTTTCCCGACAAACTGATATAAACCCGTCGGGAAAATAATGTGGATTTTCGCAACAGAATGTCGCGCTTCGTCGCACTAAATTTCTAGCCGTGGCTAGCCGTTTCAAAGCGATTCCAAGCCGCGACAAGTCCACATTATTTTTCCGACAAACAGTGAAAAATTTGCGCAGTACATTTCTTCGCCTGTTTTTTTGTTTTGTCATTGCAACAGACTTCTAGCGTGTGGCAAATTCTGAAGACTTTTTTGCCGCAAGTTTTCTACAGCCGTGGCCAAAGCGATAAGGGGAGATTCAGAGGCGTGAGAAATGTTTTATTTTATCTCCCCGTTAGACTGATTAATGAGCCAAAAAATCGTTACAGAAAGGCTTCGTTGTATGGAGATCTAGGTCTTAAATTGGCTTCAGAATAAATCTCTAAAAAGCTATTTCAAAATCAAAAACTGACTTTACTGCCACCAAAGATGGTGCAGACTCCTATCTCAGGGCCGTCGAGAATGAAAATAACTCATGAATTTGCAGTTTTTTATAAGCAAAGCGATAACAATCGTTACAGAAAAGTGTGATTTTATCTGGAAAATCCGGAAAGTCGGCTTCACGGACCGGATAGTGACCGATTTCGCGGAATGGAAGAAGAATCCACAATGCGTTTACAATTGTCAAGAGGTCAAAAACAGATGTCGAACACATAACTTCAGTAGATTCTCCATGAAAAATGGTCTATTAACAGGGCAAGTACTCCAAGTTACGACGCCCAGATTTTGATGAAACTTGGCGCAAATTTAGAACGAATTTTTTCTAGGATATGTGCAAGACTTTTAGCTCTCGCTTTGCAGAAAACATCCGAGACTTTCCAAACTTTCAAAAATGGCCCGCTTTGCGAATTTTGGCAGGAAAACTTTTCTGTCTATTTCTAATTTCTCCACAAAAAATCAAAGACACGGCCAAGAAGAGTTTTCCTGTTTGGCCGCCCTCCGCATTTTGCGCATTCTCTCGGCGGGTTGAAAGAAAAACTGGTCCCATCTTACTCCGCAGATGGGACCCTTTCCTTGTACTAGTCGCGCCATAAAGTCCGTAGAATTTTTTTCGCCGACGTCGCGGGTGCAATCGCCGAAAAGTGCATGTCGCAAGTGCAAAAACGGGGAATCGCCGCGGTGCGTGCGAAAAAAAAAAAGTCTTGACATGTTTTCGCACCGTGCGGGCGCATGAATTCGGTGTCGCGACGAGGTGTCGCGCGATAAAAATTTGGCGGGGTGCGAATGAAGAACGCACTGTGCGTTGTTTACCCTTTTTCAAAACAATCTTTTTGCACTGTGCGGTATCGCATTGCACCGTGAATTTTTCTTGTCGCCGCGCGACAAATTTCATGCACGACGGCGCACTGTGCAGACATGTCAAGACTTTTTGGCCCGCCTAGTATGTCGCGCCTATACTGGTTGACAAATTTTTCTTTCCACCTCGTATCTCGGGAACCGCTGGGCCTAGAGCCTCCAAATTCGGCGTAGAAACATCCTGAGACAATCTAACACCGTACCCAAAAAATAATATAATTTGATGCACTTTACATGCACTTTTTATGCAAAAGGCAAAAAACGGGATGACAAAATTTTCTTTCCACTTTGGAAAAACGTTTGTAAATCATAAGCCAGAGGGTGTTAGGGCATAATTGTGGTATTGTTGTGATTGCGAAGAACTCCTCTCTCGATTGGTGCCACAAGTGCATCAAATTACATGATTTTTTGGGTGCGGTGTTAGATTGTCCCAGGATGTTTCTACGCCGAATTTGGAGGTTCTAGGCCCAGCGGTTCTCGAGATACGAGGTGGAAAGAAAAATTTGTCAACCAGTATAGTAATTAGACGCCAGTTTCTTAAGTAGAAAGTGTGAATCTTATCATACTAAACAAGTCCGAAAGTCGCCGGGCTGAAATCGTTGACAAAATGTTCCACTTTTTTGCGAATTTCGACAGAAAAAGTTTACCTGTTTCTACCGTAGAACGTAACGTAAAAAAATTCTTTCTTAA